TAGTACTATAATAGTAGTGGCTTAATGAAGTTTTTTTCCCTTGTTATTAAGCTTGGGGCTGCTTTGCTCTGTTCTCGATCGCATTTCACGTCATTCAGTGGGCTGGGTTGATGTTCCAAATGCACACAGGGGGATGTTCCCAATGCACACAGGGGGATGTTCCCAATGCACACAGGGGGATGTTCCCAATGCACACAGGGGGATGTTCCCAATGCACACAGGGGGATGTTCCCAATGCACACAGGGGGATGTTCCCAATGCACACAGGGGATGTTCCCAATGCACACAGGGGGATGTTCCCGGGGCACACAGGGGGATGTTCCCAATGCACACAGGGGGATGTTCCCAATGCACACAGGGGGATGTTCCCAATGCACACAGGGGGATGTTCCCAATGCACACAGGGGGATGTTCCCAATGCACACAGGGGGATGTTCCCAATGCACACAGGGGGATGTTCCCAATGCACACAGGGGGATGTTCCCAATGCACACAGGGGGATGTTCCCAATGCACACAGGGGGATGTTCCCAATGCACACAGGGGGATGTTCCCAATGCACACAGGGGGATGTTCCCAATGCACTCAGGGGGATGTTCCCGGGGCTCTCAGGGGGATGTTCCCCATTCCTTGGGCTTCCCGCACCCCGGGAATGACAAATCCCGCTCAGGGCTGCCGAAAGCCGGAGCGCTCCCGGCGCTGGAGATCGCAGCCGGCCGCGGGAATCGATGGGAATCGCCGGGGCCGTTGAGCAGCGACGCTTCGAAGGCGGTGGCGGCCCCGGCTTCCTGCGGGGGCTGAGCCGGGAGCGGCTCCGGTTGGGCCGGGAAAGGCTCGGGAGGGCAGGAGGGGAGCGGCGGCCCCGGGGCTGCAACGCTGCGGGGGCTGCGTGAGCGCAGAAACCCCAAAACAGCGCGGGGGAGCCCAAAAACCGTCCTGGGAGTTCCTCTCTGCTCCTCCTCCTCCTCCTCCTCCTCCTCCTCCTCCTCCATCCCTCTGTCCCCCTCCCTTGTCCCAAACCCGTCCCCACCGCCCCCCAAACCCCTGCCCCCAACCCGCCCCCCACAAACGGCCCCGGGGCCAACTGGGAAGCTTTATTGGGAGCACTGGGAGCGGGCGGGCGGGGGCAGAGCGGCAGCGGGGATGGGGGGGACACGGGACCCCCCCAAAATCCCCGCGGGGACGGAGCGGGGGGTCCAGGCCGGGCCCGAGGCCGCGGGGAGCGGCTGCGGCCGCCGGCGGCTCAGGAGCTCTGCGGGCAGAGAAAAGGGGGTGAGGCCGGGCCGGGGGCCCCGGGGGGAGCGCAGCCGCTCCGGCCCGGGGGGGACACGACCCCCGGCACCCCCCCGGACCTTCTTGCGCAGGTAGAAGCCGAGCCCCAGCGCCAGGAAGAGCGAGCCCAAGACGAAGCCCCCGATGCCCGTCAGCATCTTGCTGCGGGCGGCGTCCGGCGGCATCTCTGGGGGGTCCGCGGGGCTCAGCGCCCCCAAAACCTCCCCCCGACACCCCCAGCCCCTCCCGCCGCCCTCCCGCTCGCCCCCCCGGCCCGGCCGGGACCCCCCGAAACCTCCCCCCGATCCCTGCCAGCCACACCCGGCACCCCCAAACTCCCTCCCAGCCACACCCGGCACCCCCAAACTCCCTCCCAGCCACTCCGACACCCCCAAACTCAATCACAATTAAAACCAGACCCCCTAAAATCCTTCCCAGCCACACCCGGCACCCCCAAACTCCCTCCCAGCCACACCCGGCACCCCCAAACTCCCTGCCAGTCACACCCGGCACCCCCAAACTCCCTCCCAGCCACACCCGGCACCCCCAAACTCCCTCCCAGCCACACCCGGCACCCCCAAATTCCCTCGCAGTAAATTCCAGTACCCCCAAACTCAATCACAATTAAAACCAGACCCTCTAAAATCCTTCCCAGTCATACCCAGCACCTCCAAACCCACTCCCAGTAAATCCCAGCACCCCCAAACCCCCTCCCAGTTACACCCGGTACCCCCAAACTCCCTCCCAGTCACACCCAGCACCCCCAAACCCCCTCCCAGTGCCCACCAGCACCCCCCCAACCCCATCCCACCCTCCCCAGCACCCCCCAAAGCCCTTCCCAGCCCTCCCCCAGCCCCCAGCCCCTCTCCCAGTTGCCGGCCGGCTCTCTCCAGCTCCCTCCCAGTGGCTCCCAGTCCCCGCCCGCGGCTCTGGCCCGGCCCCAGCGGCTCCCCCGTACCCCAGCTCTGGCTCAGGGGGTGCTCCAGGCTGCCGTGCTCCACCTGGCAGCTGTAGGTGAGCCCGCGCCGGGGGGGGGTTTCCAGCAGCACCAGCAGCTGGTAGCTCCAGTCCCCGTTGGGGACCACCTCGGTGGCCACCACGTGCTCCGAGAGCTCCTGCTGGCCCTGGAACCACCTCACCTGGATCGGGGCAGGGTAGAAATCCAGCACGGAGCAGAGCAGGCGGCCGGGGCCGGGCTGGGAGCTCGAGGGCACCAGCGAGATGGAGACGCTGGGGGGCACTGGGAGAGAGAGAGCGGGGACGGACTGGGATGGGCTGGGGGCACTGGGAGAGGGAGGGGAGGGACTGGGGTGGGGCTGGGGGGGACTGGGAGGGACTGGGAGGGACTGGGAATGGAGTGGGAATGGACTGGAAATTGTGTTGGAATGGACTGGGGGTGGACTGGGAGGGACAGGGAATGGAGTGGGGATGGAGTGGGAGGGATTGGTGGGGACTGGGAGGGACTGGGAATGGATAATGAGGGAATGGGAATGGACTAGGATGGACTGGGATGGACTGGTAGGGACTGAGAATCTACTGAGAATGGGCTGGGATTGGCTGGGAATGGACTGGGAATGGATTGGTTATGGATTGGAAATTGTCTTGGAATGGACTGGGAAAGACTGAGCATGGATAGGGAATGGACTGGGATGGACTGGGACGGACAGAAAATGGACTGGGAGGGACTGAGAATGGACTGGGAGGGACTGTGAGGGACTGGGAGGGATTAGGGATGGGACTGGAAGGGACTTGGGGGGATTGAGAATGAACTGGGAATGGCGTGGGAGGGTCTGGCAATGTACTGGAATGGACAGGGAATATGCTGGGAGGGACTGGGAGGGATTGGGAGGGACTGGGAATCGTCTGGAAATGTACTGGGAGGGCCTGAGAATCTACTGGGAATGGACTGGAAATTGTCTTGGAATGGACTGGGAAAGACTGAGCATGGATAGGGAATGGACTGGGATGGACTGGGACGGACAGAAAATGGACTGGGAGGGACTGGGAGGGACTGAGAATGGACAGAGACTGGACTGGGAGTTGCCTGGAAGTGTCTGGGAATGGATTGGGAAAGGTGGCATCGAACCAGAACGGACTGGGATGGACTGGGAGGGACTGTGCAGGACTGGGAAAGACCTGGAGGGCCGGGGATTGGACTGGGGAAGGCTGGAATTGACTGGAAATGGATGGAAAATGGACTGGGAAGGGACTAGGAACAAACGGGGTGGGACTGGGAATGGGTTGGGGCGGACTGAGAGAGACTGGGATGGACTGGGAGGGACTGGGATGGACTGAGAGGGGCAGAGAATGGACTATGAATGGACCTGGAATACAATGGATGGAACTGGGAATGGACTGAGCTGCAAATGCAGGGACGGGGACAGACTGGGAATGGACTGGGATGGACTGGGAGAAAAAGGAGCCCCCGGGGAGGGGCCCAGGGAGGGCTGAGGGCTCTGGGCCGGTTCCCAGGGAGGTTTTGAGGGGCTCCGGGGTCGTTGGCAGGGCCGGGCCCGAGGGGACACGCTCTGCCCCGCGCTCACCTCGGCGCTCCACGCTGAACGGGGCGAACACCCGGTAGTTGTGCCGGCAGTACGTGTCCACCGCAGTCCGTCTGTACTCCATCAATTCCGGGTCGCTGTTCAAGCGCTTGGCATTCTTCTCCCCATAGGGGGTGAACCCCACGTACTCCCCCACGTCGCTGTCGAACATCACGTCCTGCTGTCGGTTGTAGATGTAGCGCAGCACGAACCTCACCTTCTCCGTGCCGTTCGTGAAGTGACACTCGCACTTTGACATCTGCTGGAACACCGCTGAGAGTGCAGGACACAGCTCAGGGGGTGCCCCCCCAGCTCCCCCCCAGCACCCCCAGAGCTCCGGGGCCCACCCCGGATCCCCACTCCGCACCCCCTGTGCCCCACGGCCGCCCTGGGACCCTCCTGCCCGCGCTGCCGCTTCCTCTTGGCCGCCCTTCCCCCATTTCCCCTTCCGCATCCTCTCCCCTCCCGCCTCCGGCCGCACCCCAAAATCACTTCTGGGCTCCCGAATTTCCCACTTTCCCACCCATTTTAACACTATTGTCCCAACCCCCAGCCCCTCGGGCTCAGGTTTGGGGTCCCCCCTCCCCATTTCCCCCCTCCCCACCCTCCCCGCCCCTCCCGCTCTCCCTTTGGGGGTCCCCTCCTCCTCCCCCTCCATCCCGGGCTCCCCCTTTTCCCCCTGTTCCCCCTTCTCCCCCCCGGCCCAGCGCCTCCCGCGCCCCCCGCTCACCCGAGAGCTCCGCGCCCGCAGCCGGGGCGGCTCCCAGCGCCACCAGTGCCACCAGCACGGCCCCGGCTGCCGCCCCTCGCCCCATGGCAGCGCCGCACCGGCACCACCAGCCCCGCAGCGGCCGCGCTGGACTGGGGGAACCAGCCCGGAGCAGCGCGGGGTCATTAGCGACGCGCTCCCTGATTGGTCGGGCGTGGTTTTTGGCCGCGATCTGATTGGCTGTGCTTTTTTTTGGCTCCTCTATGATTGGCCGAGGCGCTGTTTCCGCGCTCTAATTGGCCGGTTCCGTTGGGAGCCCGATTTTCAGACGCTCTACCCAGCAACCGATGACTCATCAACGCCCCTCGCTCTGATTGGCTGCAATTTTCTAGGGAGCTCACTTTTTGAAGCCTCTACCCGGCAACCGGTGACGACACACCCACGCCGCGCTCCCATTGGCTGCGCGCTTTTTGGGGTGCTGCTCCCCCACTCCCGGTCCCCCCAGTTGGGCGCCGCTTTCCCGGGAGCAGCACCGGCCCTTCCCCGTGTCCCGGGAGCCCGAGGCGCCATGGACGGAGCGCGGAGCCTCCCGCGGCTGCTGCCGCTGCTGGCCCTGACCCTGCCCGCGGGTTGGGGGGTCCAAGGTGGGGTTTGGGGGGTCCCGGAGCCGCGGGGTTGGGATTTGGGGTTCGCTGTATTTGGGGCAGGTCGGGAGTGAAGGGGTTAAAGGGCTCCAATCCCGTTTTTCGCGGTTTTTTGGGGATTTTTGGGGGGATTTTAGGGAAGGGCGTGGTCCCGAGATCCTTTTTTGGGGGGGTTTGCCCCTTTTTGCCGATTTTGGGGGTTGGGTGTGGCCGAATTCCGCTTTTTTCCAGGATTTTGGGGCTCTGGGATTTCCCAACCCCCCTGTCCCCGGGATTTTGGGGGGCTGGGCGTGCCCAGACCCCCCTGTTCCAATTATTGGGGGGTCTCGGAGTGCCCAAACCCCCCTGTACACAAAATTTGGGGAACTCAAACCTTCCCAAATCATCTTTTCTCGAGATTTTTGGGGTTCTGAAAGTGCCTAAATTCCTCTTTTTCCATGATTTTGGGGATCTGGGAGTGCCCAGACCCCCCTATACGCGAAATTTCGGGAACTCAAACCTCTCCAAATCCTCTTTTCCCTAAGATTTTGGAGCTGTGGACGTGCTTAGATTCCAATTTTTCAGGATTTTTGGAGTCTTGGAGTGCCCAAACCCCCCTGTACGTAAAATTTGGGGCACTGGGCATTCCCAAATCCTTTTTTCCTGGAATTTTTGGCATCTGGAAGTGCCCAAATCCCAATTTTTTTCCACGATTTTGGGGCTCTGGAAGTGCCTAAATCCCATTTTTTCCAGGATTTTGGGGTCTGGAAGTGCCAAAACCCCTCTTTTCCCAGAAATTATAATGCATAAAATGATAATAATTATGTATATTTAAATAACGGTACAGTCATATATTATTATAATATTAAAATATCTATGACATTTTATAATTATTAATGAACATCAGTCCCGTTCTTGCTCTTCCTTTTCCGGCTGCTCCTCTTCCTCTGTCCTTCCTCTTCCTTCAGGTTCCTCCTCCTTGTTATGGTTTGGCACCGGCACAACGCCAGCGCCCCATGAAAATCCAACCGATGGATGGAACGCTGTGAAACGCCATCGGGAACGGAGCAAAGCAGCCAAACTTAATAACAAAGGAAAGACTTTATTACACCACTACTGCTACTGCTATAAAAGGAAAAGAAAGGGAAGGAAAAAAACCCACACAAAATTCAAAATGAAAACCTTCTAAAACATTCCTCCTCCCACCACCCAACTCCACCAAAGCACAGCGAGACCCAGTTAGATCTTTAATCAAGTTTTCACCCTTCAATATAATCAATACTGAGTCCATCGGGGGAGAGAGGAGTCAGGACAGGGAGGGGGCGTGCGGGCCGCACTCAGCCTCCTCCCGCCGCGAATACAAGGCGGCCCACCCATGCCAACCCCCAGTGGGGCAGGGAGCCCTTGTACCCCATACCCCCACAGGAGGCAGCCAGCTTCATACCCCCGCCAGCGACACAATTGCAGAGTCTCCAAACACAGCCCGCGGTACCTTCGTACCCACTACCACCGCAAGCAGCGCCTGTGCCGCAGGGTCTGCAGGGGGCACCCCAGAACGGGACCCCTGGGTGGCCCTGGCCATGAAAATAGGGAAGGAGCCCCCGAAGGTGTGGGGGACATGCCGCCTTTATGGCAGTCGGGACCCCCACGTAATAGGGCTTCAGTTTTGGGCAGACACAGGAGCAGACTGCTCGATCCTGCCCCAAGCCCTGTGGCCCCGACACTGGCAATGCAAAGAAGTCCCTCCAGTGAACGGGGTGGGAGGGCTGTCCCGAGCTTGGAAAAGCACCCAATTAGTAGCTATAATGCTTCATACAAAAAAGGGACCAGAACGAACAGTAGCAATCCACCCCTGATAGGAAGGGACATCCTTGCTATGTTAGGAGTCAGGATTACAAATTTATAATGAGAGCCACTGCCGTACACCCACTGCTGCCAATCAAAGTGACCTTCAGAACGAAATTAATGGAAAACTGTAAGTTTCTGTTTGCAGGACATGCTCGTGGACCGTCCCCGTGACGCGTACACCCCTGCTCCAGAGGGAGATGACGGACCACCAAACCGCCAGACAAAACCCGAGAGTCCCACACCGGTGGGACACCGGTGAGACCCAGACATGCACAGTGTCTTTGGGTGATTTTGCTGTTGGGGCTTGTGGCCAGGGGGCTTGAGGACTGAGAAGGTGGGTGAATGTGCGAATTATCAGGCTCCAACCACCAGCACCTCGACCAGTAGGACCCAACAAAGTTATCAAGAACGTGCTAAAAGTGAAAAACACAACCCACCCCAAAACCTTGCCCCCAAAAGTCACTGACACCCCGATCGGCCTTGCGGATACCCTCCAGATAGGCCGCACGGCTGAGTCAGACCCAAACCCAATCTTTCGTATGCTAGAAGCCACCTTCCTAACCCTAAACGAAACCAAACCGAACCTGACTAACCCCTGCTAGCTTTGCTATAATATTAAACCCCCTTTCTACGAAGGCATTGCTTTAGACACCCCCTTCAGTTACTCCAAAGCCAGTGCCCCCCACCAGTGCAAGTGGGACACTCCCCGCAGAGGAATCACCCTGAGTCAAATCACAGGACAGGGCAGATGTTTTGGAAATGCAACCTTAGCAAAGCAGAAAGACAACTTCTGCACTAAAGTTGTCAAGCCCAACAGAAAAACCAATAAGTGGGTGGTCCCATCCGCATCTGGGATGTGGATTTGCCAGAGATCCGGAGTGAGTCCTTGTGTGTTCCTTGCCAAATTTAATGACTCTATCGATTTATGTGTCCAAGTTCTGATTGTTCCTAGGGTCCTGTACCACTCAGACGAAGAGATGTACCATCTTCTCGAGGAACCTGACAGACTCCACAAAAGGGAAATCATCACAGGTATAACCATCGCAATGCTGCTCGGCCTGGGAGCAGCTGGCACAGCCACGGGTGTCTCAGCCATCGCGACCCAACAGCACGGACTCTCTCAGCTGCAAATGACCATCGATGAGGACCTGCAGAGGACTGAGAAATCCATCTCCTATCTAGAGAAATCAGTCTCTTCGCTTTCAGAAGTAGTTTTACAAAATAGGCGGGGACTGGACCTCTTGTTCATGCAGCAAGGAGGATTGTGTGCAGCCTTGAAGGAGGAGTGCTGCTTTTATGCAGATCATACGGGAGTCGTTAAAGACTCCATGGCAGAACTCCGAGATAGACTGGCTCAGAGAAAGAGAGACAGGGAAACCCAACAGAGCTGGTTTGAATCCTGGTTCAATCAATCACCTTGGCTCACCACTTTAATTTCCGCCCTGGTAGGTCCACTGGCAATACTGCTTTTAGCTGTTACCATAGGACCATGCCTGCTGAACAAACTAGTCTCGTTTGTTCAGGCCCGTCTAGAAAGGGCAAACATTCTGTTCATAGGCCACCAACAAATGCTGTAAACCAAAAACTGCGAACACAGTCAGTCGCAAAAGCCTTTGAGACTCACCTTGTGAAAATTACTCAGGTTTACCAAACCACCCTTTCCTTACCAAGTTACAAGTTTGTGCCTCACTCCAGTGCCTTTATCTACAACTACCTCATTTTATTTATGATAAGGGGAGGGGAGATGTGGTAGAAAGGGACAGGCGAACGGAAGATCCCAGGATGTGATGGAAAGAGAGACCCTTCCCCCTTCACCCTGTAACACGTTATCTACCACCCCCAGAACATGTAACCACACCTAACCCAGTAGTTTTCCACTCCCGACTAACCCTAGAGACCTTACCAACCCCCCCTGACGTAGCAAAGTCCCCCAAGACTATTTAAACCCATGAGATAAGATAATAAACGCTTTCGACCGTCCACCACATTGGTGTCAGCGTGTGTCGTTAGCCCGAGTAGCCCGGACAGGCCGGGCTGCCGTGCTGCTCCTTGTGACCAGGTCACCATTGCCTCCCCTTAAGGGAACAGGGATGTTCCCAATGCCCACAGGGGGATGTTCCCAATGCCCACAGGGGGATGTTCCCAATGCACACAGGGGGATGTTCCCAATGCACACAGGGGGATGTTCCCGGGGCACACAGGGGGATGTTCCCAATGCACACAGGGGGATGTTCCCAATGCACACAGGGGGATGTTCCCAATGCACACAGGGGATGTTCCCGGGGCACACAGGGGGATGTTCCCACTGCACACAGGGGGATGTTCCCAATGCACACAGGGGGATGTTCCCGGGGCACACAGGGGGATGTTCCCAATGCACACAGGGGGATGTTCCCAATGCACACAGGGGGATGTTCCCAATGCACACAGGGGGATGTTCCCAATGCACACAGGGGGATGTTCCCGGGGCACACAGGGGGATGTTCCCGGGGCACACAGGGGGATGTTCCCAATGCACACAGGGGGATGTTCCCGGGGCACACAGGGGGATGTTCCCAATGCACACAGGGGGATGTTCCCAATGCACACAGGGGGATGTTCCCGGGGCACACAGGGGGATGTTCCCAATGCACACAGGGGGATGTTCCCAATGCACACAGGGGGATGTTCCCAATGCACACAGGGGGATGTTCCCAATGCACACAGGGGATGTTCCCAATGCACACAGGGGATGTTCCCAATGCACACAGGGGGATGTTCCCGGGGCACACAGGGGGATGTTCCCAATGCACACAGGGGGATGTTCCCAATGCACACAGGGGGATGTTCCCAATGCACACAGGGGGATGTTCCCAATGCACACAGGGGGATGTTCCCAATGCACACAGGGGGATGTTCCCGGGGCACACAGGGGGATGTTCCCAATGCACACAGGGGGATGTTCCCCATGCACACAGGGGGATGTTCCCGGGGCTCTCAGGGGGATGTTCCCAATGCACACAGGGGGATGTTCCCGGGGCTCTCAGGGGGATGTTCCCCATTCCTTGGGCTTCCCGCACCCCGGGAATGACAAATCCCGCTCAGGGCTGCCGAAAGCCGGAGCGCTCCCGGCGCTGGAGATCGCAGCCGGCCGCGGGAATCGATGGGAATCGCCGGGGCCGTTGAGCAGCGACGCTTCGAAGGCGGTGGCGGCCCCGGCTTCCTGCGGGGGCTGAGCCGGGAGCGGCTCCGGTTGGGCCGGGAAAGGCTCGGGAGGGCAGGAGGGGAGCGGCGGCCCCGGGGCTGCAACGCTGCGGGGGCTGCGTGAGCGCAGAAACCCCAAACCAGCGCGGGGGAGCCCAAAAACCGTCCTGGGAGTTCCTCTCTGCTCCTCCTCCTCCTCCTCCTCCATCCCTCTGTCCCCCTCCCTTTTCCCAAACCCGTCCCCACCGCCCCCCCAAACCCCTCCCCCCAAGCCGCCCCCCACAAACGGCCCCGGGGCCAACTGGGAAGCTTTATTGGGAGCACTGGGAGCGGGCGGGCGGGGGCAGAGCGGCAGCGGGGCTGGGGGGGACACGGGACCCCCCCAAAATCCCCGCGGGGACGGAGCGGGGGGTCCCGGCCGGGCCCGAGGCCGCGGGGAGCGGCTGCGGCCGCCGGCGGCTCAGGAGCTCTGCGGGCAGAGAAAAGGGGGTGAGGCCGGGCCGGGGGCCCCGGGGGGAGCGCAGCCGCTCCGGCCCGGGGGGGACACGACCCCCGGCACCCCCCCGGACCTTCTTGCGCAGGTAGAAGCCGAGCCCCAGCGCCAGGAAGAGCGAGCCCAAGACGAAGCCCCCGATGCCCGTCAGCATCTTGCTGCGGGCGGCGTCCGGCGGCATCTCTGGGGGGTCCGCGGGGCTCAGCGCCCCCAAAACCTCCCCCCGACACCCCCAGCCCCTCCCGCCGCCCTCCCGCTCGCCCCCCCCGGCACGGCCGGGACCCCCCGAAACCTCCCCCCGATCCCTGCCAGCCACACCCGGCACCCCCAAACTCCCTCCCAGTCACACCCGGCACCCCCAAACTCCCTCCCAGCCACACCCGGCACCCCCAAACTCCCTCCCAGTCACACCCGGCACCCCCAAACCCCCTCCCAGACACACCCGGCACCCCCAAACTCCCTCCCAGCCACACCCGGCACCCCCAAACTCCCTCCCAGCCACACCCGGCACCCCCAAACTCCCTCCCAGCCACACCCGGCACCCCCAAACTCCCTCCCAGCCACACCCAGCACACCCAAACCCCCTCCCAGTGCCCACCAGCACCCCCAAACTCCCTCCCAGTCATTTCCAGCACCCCGAAAGTCGATTGAAATTAAAAGCAGACCCTCTAAAATCCTTCCCAGTCATACCCACCACCCCCAAACCCACTCCCAGTAAATCCCAGAACCCTCAAACTCCCTCCCAATCACACCCAGCACCCCCAAATTCCTTCCTAATAAATCCCAACACCCCCAAACTCCCTCCCAGCCACACCCGGCACCCCCAAACTCCCTCCCAGCCACACCCGGCACCCCCAAACTCCCTCCCAGCCACACCCAGAACCCCCAAACTCGATCAAAATTTAAACCAGACCCCCTAAAATCCCTCCCACGCACACCCAGCACTCCTAAACCATTTCCCAGTACATCCCAACACGCCCAAATTCTTTCCCAGTCACACCCGGCACCCCCAAACCCCCTCCCAGTGCCCACCAGCACCCCCAAGCCCCCTCCCAGTGCCCACCAGCACCCCCCCAACCCCATCCCACCCTCCCCAGCACCCCCCAAAGCCCTTCCCAGCCCTCCCCCAGCCCCCAGCCCCTCTCCCAGTTGCCGGCCGGCTCTCTCCAGCTCCCTCCCAGTGGCTCCCAGCCCCCGCCCGCGGCTCTGGCCCGGCCCCAGCGGCTCCCCCGTACCCCAGCTCTGGCTCAGGGGGTGCTCCAGGCTGCCGTGCTCCACCTGGCAGCTGTAGGTGAGCCCGCGCCGGGGGGGGGTTTCCAGCAGCACCAGCAGCTGGTAGCTCCAGTCCCCGTTGGGGACCACCTCGGTGGCCACCACGTGCTCCGAGAGCTCCTGCTGGCCCTGGAACCACCTCACCTGGATCGGGGCAGGGTAGAAATCCAGCACGGAGCAGAGCAGGCGGCCGGGGCCGGGCTGGGAGCTCGAGGGCACCAGCGAGATGGAGACGCTGGGGGGCACTGGGAGAGAGAGAGCGGGGACGGACTGGGATCGGCTGGGGGCACTGGGAGAGGGAGGGGAGGGACTGGGGTGGGGCTGGGGGGGACTGGGAGGGACTGGGATGGGGTGAGAAGGAATGGGAATTGAGTGGGAATGGACTGGGAAAGACTGAGCATGGAATGGGAGTGGACTGGGATGGACTGGGACGGAGAAGGAATGGACTGCAATGGACTGGGAGGGACTGGGAATGGACTGGGAGGGACTAGGAGGGACTGGGAGGGATTAGGGATGGGACTGGAAGGGACGGGGGGGGATTGAGAATGAACTGGGAATGGCATGGGAGGGTCTGGAAATGTACTGGAATGGACTGGGAATATGCTGGGATGGACTGGGATGGATTGGGATCAACTGGGATTAATTGTGAGAGACTGGGATTGACTGGGAATGGACTGGAATGTACTGATATGGACTGGGAATGGACTGGACTGTACTGGGAGGGACTGGGAATGGACTGGAATGTACTGGGAGGGACTGGGAATGGACTGGAATGAACTGGGACAGACTTCCCATCAACTGGGAATGGACTGGGATGGACTAGGGGGCCTGGGGTGGACTGGGAATGGACTGGGAATACACTGGATATTATTGGGAATGGACTGGGTTGGAAAAGGAGGGTCTGGCAATGGACTGGAATGAACTGGGATGGGTTGGGAGTGACTGGGAATGGATTGGGAATGGATTGGGTGGGATTTGGAGGGTCAGGAGCCCCCGGGGAGGGGCCCAGGGAGGGCTGAGGGCTCTGGGCCGATTCCCAGGGAGGTTCTGAGGGGCTCCGGGGTCATTGGCAGGGCCGGGCCCGAGGGGACACGCTCTGCCCCGCGCTCACCTCGGCGCTCCGTGAGGAACGGGGTGAGCACCCGGTAGTTGTGCCGGCAGACTAGGTCCACCTCAGCCCGTTTGCGCTCCATGAATTCCGGGTTGCTGTTAAAGCGCTTTGCACCCTTCTCCCCAAGGGGGTTGAACCCCACATACACCCCGACATCGCTGTCGAACATCAGGAGCTGCTCCCGGTTGTAGATGTAGCGCTGCACGTACCTCACCTTCTCCGTGCCGTTCATGAAGTAACACTCGAACTTTCCCAAGAGCTGGAACACCGCTGTGAGTGCAGGACACAGCTCAGGGGGTGCCCCCCCAGCTCCCTCCCAGCACCCCCAGAGCTCCGGGGCCCACCCCGGATCCCCACTCCGCACCCCCTGTGCCCCACGGCCGCCCTGGGACCCTCCTGCCCGCGCTGCCGCTTCCTCTTGGCCGCCCTTCCCCCATTTCCCCTTCCGCATCCTCTCCCCTCCCGCCTCCGGCCGCACCCCAAAATCACTTCTGGGCTCCCGAATTTCCCACTTTCCCACCCATTTTAACACTATTGTCCCAACCCCCAGCCCCTCGGGCTCAGATTTGGGGTCCCCCCTCCCCATTTCCCCTATTCCCCACCCTCCCCCGCCCCTCCCGCTCTCCCTTTGGGGGTCCCCTCCTCCTCCCCCTCCATCCCGGGCTCCCCCTTTTCCCCCTGTTCCCCCTTCTCCCCCCCGGCCCAGCGCCTCCCGCGCCCCCCGCTCACCCGAGAGCTCCGCGCCCGCAGCCGGGGCGGCTCCCAGCGCCACCAGTGCCACCAGCACGGCCCCGGCTGCCGCCCCTCGCCCCATGGCAGCGCCGCACCGGCACCACCAGCCCCGCAGCGGCCGCGCTGGACTGGGGGAACCAGCCCGGAGCAGCGCGGGGTCATTCGCGACGCGCTCCCTGATTGGTCGGGCGTGGTTTTTGGCCGCGATCTGATTGGTTTCCGTTTTTTTTGGCTCCTCTATGATTGGCCGAGGCGTTTTTTCCGCGCTCTAATTGGCCGGTTCCGTTGGGAGCCCGATTTTCAGACGCTCTACCCAGCAACCGATGACTCATCAGCGCCCCGAGCTCTGATTGGCTGCAATTTTCTAGGGAGCTCACTTTTTGAAGCCTCTACCCGGCAACCGATGACGACACACCCACGCCGCGCTCCCATTGGCTGCGCGCTTTTTGGGGTGCTGCTCCCCCACTCCCGGTCCCCCCAGTTGGGCGCCGCTTTCCCGGGAGCAGCACCGGCCCTTCCCCGTGTCCCGGGAGCCCGAGGCGCCATGGACGGAGCGCGGAGCCTCCCGCGGCTGCTGCCGCTGCTGGCCCTGACCCTGCCCGCGGGTTGGGGGGTCCAAGGTGGGGTTTGGGGGGTCCCGGAGCCGCGGGGTTGGGATTTGGGGTTCGCTGTATTTGGGGCGGGTCGGGAGTGAAGGGGTTAAAGGGCTCCAATCCCGTTTTTCGCGGTTTTTTTGGGATTTTTTGGGGGGTTTTGGGGAGGGGCGTGGTCCCGAGATGGTTTTTTTGGGGTTTTTTTTGCCCCTTTTTCGCCATTTTGGGGGTTGGGTGTGGCCGAATTCCGCTTTTTTCCAGGATTTTGGGGCTCTGGGATTTCCCAACCCCCCCTGTCCCCGGGATTTTGGGGGGCTGGGCGTGCCCGGACCCCCCTGTTCCAATTATTGGGGGGGCTGGGAGTGCCCGAACCCCCCTGGACCCGAAATTTGGGGAACTGAGAATTCCCAAATCCCAATTTTTCCATGATTTTGGGGATCTGGAAGTGCCCAAATCCCAATTTTTTAGGATTTTTTGGGGCTGGCAGTGCCCAAACCCCCCTGGACCCGAAATTTGGGGAACTCAAACCTTCCCAAATCCTCTTTTTCTGAGGTTTTGGGGTTCTGAAAGTGCCCAAATTCCTCTTTTTCCGCGATTTTGGGGATCTGGGTGTGTCCAGACCCCCCTGTATCCAAAATTTGGGGAACTGGGAATTCCCAAATCCCATTTTTCTGGCATTTTTAGAGATCGAGGGCGCCCAAAATCCTTTTTTTCCTTTATTTTGGGGATCTGGGAGTGCCCAAACCCCCCTGGACACGAAATTTTGGTATCTGAGAATTCCCAAATCCAATTTTTTCCACAATTTTGTGGATCTGAAAGTGCCTAAATCCCAATTTTTTTAGGATTTTTGGGGATCTGGGAGTGCCCAAGCCCCCTGTACCCAAAATTTGGGGAACTCAAAATTCCCAAATTCTCTTTTTCCAGAATTTTGGGGCTCTGGAAGTGCTCAAATCCCAATTTTTCCACAATTTTGGGCTCTGAAAGTGCCTAAATCCCATTTTTCCAGGATTTTCAGAGTTTGGTGTTCCCAAAAATCCGATTTTTTGTGGATTTTTGAGGTTTGGGTGTTCCCAAACCCCCCTGGACCCGAAATTTGGGGAACTCAAAATTCCCAAATTCTCTTTTTCCATGATTTTTGGGCTCTGGGAGTGCCTAAATCCCAATTTTTTAGGATTTTTTGGGGCTGAGAGTGCCCAGACCCCCCTGTACCCAAAATTTGGGGAACTGAGAATTCCCAAATCCTCTTTTCCCGGAATTTTGGGGCTCTGGAAGTGCCTAAATCCCAATTTTTTTAGGATTTTTTGGGGTCTGGGAGTGCCCAAATCCCAATTTTCCAGGATTTTTGGAGTCTGGGGTTCCCAAAAATCCGATTTTTTGTGGATTTTTGGGGTTTGGGTGTTCCCAACCCCCCTGGACCCAAAATTTGGGGAACTGAGAATTCCAAAATCCCAATTTTTCCATGATTTTGGGGATCTGGGAGTGCCTAAATCCCAATTTTTTGTGGATTTTTGGGGTTTGGGTGTTCCCAAACCCCCCTGTACCCGAAATTTGGGGAACTGAGAATTCCCAAATCCCAATTTTCCAGAATTTTTGGGATCTAGGAGTGCCCAAATCCCAAATTTTCCATAATTTTTGGGCTCTGGAAGTGCCCAAATCCCAATTTTTTAGGATTTTTTTGGGGCTGGGAGTGCCCAAACCCCCCTGTACCCAAAATTTGGGGAACTGAGAATTCCCAAATTCTCTTTTTCCAGAATTTTGGTGATCTGGATGTGCCCAAATCCCAATTTTTTTCCACAAATTTGGGCTCTGGAAGTGCCTAAATCCAAATTTTCCAGGATTTTCAGAGTTTGGTGTTCCCAAAAATCCGATTTTTTGTGGATTTTTGGGGTCTGGGTGTTCCCAACCCCCCCGTTCCCGAAATTTGGGGAACTGAGAATTCCCAAATCCTCTTTTTCCAGAATTTTTGGGGATCTGGGAGTGCCTAAATCCCAATTTTCCAGGATTTTCAGAGTCTGGGGTTCCCAAAAATCCGATTTTTTGTGGATTTTTGGGGTTTGGGTGTTCCCAACCCCCCCTGTACACGAAATTTGGGGAACTGAGAATTCCCAAATTCTCTTTTTCCAGAATTTTCGGGATCTGGGAGTGCCCAAATCCCAATTTTTCCACGATTTTTGGGATCTGGGAGTGCCTAAATCCCAATTTTTTTAGGATTTTTTGGGGCTGAGAGTGCCCAAACCCCCCTGTACACGAAATTTGGGGAACTGAAAATTCCCAAATTCTCTTTTTCCAGAATTTTGGGATCTGAAAGTGCCTAAATCCCAATTTTTCCAGAATTTTGGGGATCTGGGAGTGCCTAAATCCCAATTTTTTAGGATTTTCAGAGTTTGGTGTTCCCAAAAATCCGATTTTTTGTGGATTTTTGGGGTCTGGGTGTGCCCAAACCCCCCTGTACCCGAAATTTGGGGAACTGAGAATTCCCAAATCCTCTTTTTCCAGAATTTTAGGGATCTGAAAGTGCCTAAATCCCAAATTTTCAGGAATTTTTGGGATCTGGAAGTGCCTAAATCCCAATTTTAAGGATTTTTGGAGTTTGGTGCTCCCAAAAATCCGATTTTTTGTGGATTTTTGGGGTCTGGGAGTGCCCAAACCCCCCTGTACCCAAAATTTGGGGAACTGAGAATTCCCAAATTCTCTTTTTCCAGAATTTTGGGGATCTGGGAGTGCCCAAATCCCAATTTTTCCACAATTTTGTTGTTCTGGGAGTGCCTAAATCCCAATTTTCTGGGATTTTCAGAGTTTGGCGTTCCCAAAAATCCGATTTTTTGTGGATTTTTGGGGTCTGGGTGTTCCCAAACCCCCCTGTACCCGAAATTTGGGGAACTGAGAATTCCCAAATCCCAATTTTTCCAGAATTTTGGGGATCTGGGAGTGCCCAAATCCCAATTTTCCAGAATTTTTGGGATCTGGGAGTGCCCAAACCCCCCTGTACCTGAAATTTAGGGAACTCAAAATTCCCAAATCCTCTTTTTCTGGAATTTTGGGGTTCTGAAAGTGCCCAAATTCCAATTTTTCCCCCATTTTGGGGATCTGGGAGTGCCCAAACCCCCCTGTACCCAAAATTTGGGGAACTGGGAATTACCAAATTCCATTTTTCTGGCATTTTTACAGATCGAGGGTGCCCAAAATCCTTTTTTTCCTTTATTTTGGGATCAGGGAGTGCACAAACCCCCCTGTACCCGAAATTTGGGGAACTCAAACCTTCCCAAATCCTCTTTTTCCTGGAATTTTTGGGCTCTGGATGTGCCCAAATCCCATTTTTTTCCACAATTTTTGGGATCTGGGAGTGTCCAGACCCCCCTGTACCCAAAATTTGGGGAACTGAGAATTTCAAAATCCCAATTTTCCAGAATTTTTGGGGATCTAGGAGTGCCCAAATCCAATTTTTCCCTGATTTTTGGGCTCTGGGAGTGCCCAAATCCCAATTTTTTAGGATTTTTGGAGTCTGGGAGTGCCCAAACCCCCCTGGACCCGAAATTTGGGGAACTCAAAATTCCCAAATCCTCTTTTCTCGAGATTTTGGGGTTCCGAAGGTGCCCAAATTCCTCTTTTTCCACCATTTTGGGGATCTGGGAGTGCCCAAACCCCCTGGACACGAAATTTGGGGAACTGAGAATTCCCAAATCCCAATTTTTCCAGAATTTTGGGGCTCTGGAAGTGCCCAAATCCCAATTTTTCCATGATTTTTGGGGATCTGGGAGTGCCCAAACCCCCCTGTACCCAAAATTTGGAGAACTCAAACCTTCCCAAATCCTCTTTTTCCAGAATTTTGGGGTTCTGGAAGTGCCCCAATTCCTCTTTTTCTAGAATTTTTGGGACCTGGGTGTGTCCAGACCCCCCTGTACACGAAATTTGGGGAACTGGGAATTCCCAAATCCTCTTTTCCCGGAATTTTGGGGCTCTGGACGTGCCCAAATCCCAATTTTTCCACGATTTTGTTGTTCTGGGAGTGCCCAAATCCCAATTTTTCAGGATTTTCAGAGTTTGGTGTTCCCAGAAATCCGATTTTTTGTGGATTTTTGGGGATCTGGGAGTGCCCAAACCCCCCTGTACCCAAAATTTGGGGAACTGAGAATTCCCAAATCTTCTTTTTCCAGAATTTTGGGGATCTGAAAGTGCCTAAATCCCAATTTTCCAGGATTTTTGGGGTCTGGGAGAGCCCAAATCCCAATTTTCCAGGATTTTTGGAGTCTGGGGTTCCCAAAAATCCGATTTTTTGTGAATTTTTGGGGTCTGGGTGTGCCCAACCCCCCCGTTCCCAAAATTTGGGGAACTGAGAATTCCCAAATCCTCTTTTTCCAGAATTTTCGGGATCTGGGCATTCCCAAATCCCAATTTTTCCACGATTTTGGGGATCTGGGAGTGCCTAAATCCCAAATTTTCAGGATTTTTTGGGCTCTGAAAGTGCCCAAATCCCCCTGGACACGAAATTTGGGGAACTGAGAATTCCCAAATCCTCTTTTTCCAGAATTATGGGGATCTGAAAGTGCCTAAATCCCAATTTTTTCCACAATTTTTGGGATCCGGGAGAGCCCAAACCCCCCTGTACCCAAAATTTGGGGAACTCAAAATTCCCAAATTGTCTTTTTCCAGAATTTTTGGGCCCTGGAAGTGCCTAAATCCCATTTTTTTTAGGATTTTTGGAGTCTGGGAGTGCCCAAACCCCCCTGTACACAAAATTTGGGGAACTCAAACCTTCCCAAATCATGTTTTCTCGAGATTTTTGGGGTTCCGAAAGTGCCCAAATTCCTCTTTTTCCATCATTTTGGGGATCTGGGAGTGCCCAGACCGCCCTGTACCCGAAATTTGGGGAACGGGGAATTCCCAAATCCCATTTTTCTGGCATTTTTACAGATCGAGGGCGCCCAAAATCCTTTTTTTCCTTTATTTTGGGGATCTGGGAGAGCCCAAACCCCCCTGTACCAAAAATTTGGGGAACTGAGAATTCCCAAATCCCAATTTTCCAGAAT